AAACAAGACACCCAGGTTCTTGACTGGCTTATTGAGGTTGAGTGTGCAGCCATGGAGGCTGATGCTGCCAACGCCTGAGGTGCGGAGGTGCTGGCGCGAGCCAATCAGAAGGGCCTCGGTCTTGCTGACGTTCAGTAGGAGAAAGTTGTCCCTCATCCAGGACTTGATGTCAGACAGGCAGTCAGTCAGGACACCAGTGGTCCTGGAGTTGAGGGTGGAGGTGGAGAGATAGAGTTGGGTGTCATCCACATACATGTGGAAATTTACCCTATGTCTCCGGATGATGTCACCAAGGGGGAGCATGTAGAGGGTGAAGAGGGGGGGACTGAGGATAGAGCCCTGAGGAATACCGCACAAGACGGTGCAGGGGCTGGAGGAGAAGCCGTTTTCCGCGACGAAGTGGTGGCGGTGTGAAAGGTAGGACCTGAACCAGTCAAGGACAGAACCTTGAAGGTTGAGGTGGGAGGGGAGGTGGTGGAGGAGGATTGAGTAGGCTGAACAGGACAGCATATAATAATTATTTTAGTAGCCGAGGAGAGGGTGCAGGAATGTAAAAGGACTTTTTCCTATTTCCGAAGGTTGCTTGCAATGAATAACTTTATAACCTTGATAACTAACACCTCTGTATCAAAAATCCACAGAGAAAAGGGAAGAATCAGATTTCATTTTAAAAGCTAGACTTTTGTGTAAGGTTTACATGTTTTAGACATTTGCAGACGACAATAAAAACAGACTGTCCAGAAGACAGACTAAAACTGGAAGTGGGTTAACCTTACAATAATTTATTGGTAGATGTAATAACTATAGAGATTACATAAAAACTTTGCATTGTTAAAACAAATGCTTTAATATCACAGCTGCAGAATATTGCCTTGAGTATACTTGTAACCGTCAACTTTAGTCAATGGAAACATACAAATTTACAGCACAGAAGTAGGCCATTCAACTCATTGTGTTTGTGCTGGATCTTTTAAGAGCAATCATTTCAGTCCCATTTACCCACATTTTCCTCATGCTCCATTAATTTACTGCTTTTAAGGTATTTATCTATTCCCTTTTGAAAACTAATATGGCATGTGTCTCAACCCTCGCTTCCAGCAGGGCATGTCACATCCTAACCACGATGCATGAAAACAATTCTCCAACAATAAATGCCTTTAGAAAGAGTGCTTGAGCTCTGCGCTTTACCACTTTTATTGACACAGAGTGGCGAAGTTGGCTCGACAGACTGAATTGTTTATTCTTGTTCTTAAGTAGAAATAAACAAATATGATAAATGAAGAGTTGCAATTGAGTTCTTTAATATTTTTGCGATTGGCTCCATCTTCCCAACAGAGCCTGTGTGTGGCACTAAAGCAGGCATCACTGAGAATCAAGGCGCTGTGTGGTTGATTGGATTGTATCCATTTTACATCTCATACCAGAGGAGTCTGTATAAACAGGAGTGGAATAATAAAGAATCAACACTTTCTAATGTTACTGCCTGCCACTAAATTATTCAATGATTTGGGTTAAAATTGAAAGTTGATTTATTAACCAGTTTTATTTTAAATCACGACATGATTCAAATTGAAAACAAAATGTACACTTCTTTGACGGCAAATCGATTGACACATGTGACCTCAGCATATTGAACTTGTGGTACGTCAAAGCTTAGCTTTTAGGGTGAGGTCTCACTGAGCTCCCACTGAAGTCTTGCCTATAATTTATCAAATTTATTTTGCTACAAGATCTCTTCATTGGGTTTGAGCTCACAAGATGCTATAGAATAAACTGGCCCGGGTCGTCCCTAACAAATACCGTGGACAAAATTCAGAGTCTTTCTACTCGGGGACTGAGACTAACCTCCTGGTTGCCAAAATCAAAACTAAAATTTTAAGTTCATAATCAATAAAACAAAATCTTTGATTTTTTGTTATCTCACCACCGGAAATACATACAAAGATTCAAATCAAAGTCATCATAACCACAGGGATTTCGGTACTGTAACTTGCTTTGAGTCAGGCACAAGAAAATAAAAATGCCAATTGAGTTGGGTTTGGGCCTGAAATCCCACCTAGCTTTAGTCCTTTAAACCATTTTGTCCTCAACTGTAATAATAATTCTTACATTTGGATATAGCTCCTTGCAAGGCAGTCGGAAGTCTCAAATCACATCATAAAATTTACTATAAAGTGTAATGACTGTAGGAAAACCCAGCAGCCAATTTGCATTCAACAATGTCCCACAAACAGCAATGAAGTGAATAACCAATTTTATAGGGTGGAATGATTGGGCAGGACACTGAGAGAAACTTCTCTTTTTGATTAGTGCCATGGCATCTATTACCTGAACATGCAGATCGGACCTCAGTTTAATGTCTCAAGCAAAACAGGGCATCTCTGATGGTGCAGTGCTCCCCCAGCACTTTATTGGAGTGTCAGCCTAGACTGTAAATTCAAAATCCTAACATAGGGCATGAACCCACCTGGCTCAAAAGTGAGATTGCTACAGATGAAGCCAGCCTAACACTATATGCAGAATGGCAGGAAATATTCAAATTTACTATTAATTTCCACAGTTCACAAACAGACCAGCTTCCAATTTAGTAGTCAATTTAACAATGTGTCACAATTCTGAGCAATCTTAAACAAAATGACAGGATGGTCTCAAGGCTAGGAATGGATTGAATTATGGAGCTTTTTGTCTGTTAATTTTCAAAATGCCTGCCTGATGTTGACAGAAACTCAATCTTGTGTCAGCCTGGCTCAATTGATAGTTCCCTCGCCTCTGAGTCAGAAAGTTGTGGATTCAAGCAACACATTGGTACTTCAACTCATGTGTCTACGATGACTCTCCACTGGGGGAGTGTTACACTGTTGGAGGTGCCATCCTTCAGTTCTGTTGTCGGAGGTGCCTCTTCAGGTGAATGTTAAAAATCCCATGGCATTGCCAACAATCCCTCCAAATAAAATTTGGCTGTTGTGAGAGACATTGCTATGTGCGATTTGGCTGTCGCATTCACCTACAAATACACAGTCATTGCACTTCACAGTAAATCCCATCAAGCACTTTGAGATATCCTCCTGTCATGAAAAGCGCTATATCAAATGCAAGTATTATTATTAATTAAATCTCGTATTGAATGCAAATTGCTGCTTCTCTAGGACATTAATTGTATTTCAATATTGCGCAGGAAACATTTAGAGACAGTCATATCTTATTTAAATGGCACAGGTAGTGTTAGTTTGACCCCATTTTCTCGATTGATTGGTGTTAAAGAGCAACATAAACCTGCTTTAAAATGAAATGGATTTATACCCAGCCTCACTTTCTTAAACCAAACACAGTTTATAGTGTGTTTGTATTGCAGCTGATTTTGAGAGAACTTAAGCATTTGAATGTCAGAGAACTAGTTAGGTAGTGATTTTCCCTGTTCTTTAACAGCATTAAAACATATAATATGTATTCTGTACCAGTTACCTACTTATTCAACACAGCCTTTCATCAGCTCTCGGTGAGAGAGGGCAGTACACATAAATATCTCCAGGCTATTGTCAGGGTTGCTCACTTGGCAGCACTCTTGCCTCTGAGTCCCAAAGTTGTGGGTTCAAGTCCCCCATTGGGATTTTGAAATCACAGTGCATTGCTAAGGGAATGCTGCATGGTTGAAGATGCTGTCCTCCAGATGAGATGTTAAACCAAGGTCTCGTCTTCCTGTTCAGGTGGATAGTCAAGATCTCATGATACTATTCGAAAAAGGATGAGAGTTTCTCCCAGTGTCCTGGCCCAATCCCCCAAATAAAATTGATCATTCACTTCATGACTGTTTGTGAGACAATGCTGTGTACAAATTGGCTACTGTGTTCACCTACAAATACAGCCACTGCACTTCACAGTAAATCCTGTGAAGTGCTTTGACAAGTCTTGTTGATGTAATAGAGCGCTATATCAATTGCAAAGAATGTTATTTCTATAATAAATACTATCCCAGGATAGAGAGGACTAGGAAACTAGGATCTGTGCTCTCCGCGGCCATAAAATTAACTTTCAGCAACCATGCATGATTGGCCTGAAAATATGAAAAAAGCAAATAAAACAGCCTAAGGCCTGATATGTATACCAAAATTTACAAAATAAAACTGCAATCACATCAAGGTCAGAAAACAACAGTGCTAAGTCCCTGAGACAAACAAACTGCTTCACTGGAGAGACACATAACTGACCTTAAAACATCCTTTAAACAAGTTAAGCAAATGGATTACCACAGGAGTACCACAGGTGTTGCCCAATCATTTTACCCACTAGCTCAGCTATTTTTTAAGGAGGTGAGGTATATTTTCACCCTCTATGGAAATAATGCCACAAAAATTTTGAGATTTTGATCAGAGGAGTCTAGTGCTTTTTATTCCATTCTGTTTCCTACTGAATGTGCATTATTCATGCTGCAAAGATGTTTATTGCTCCATTGCATTGAGTGTGCCCAGATGGCATTTTACTATGTCAGTCAGTACCCAACGTAGTTTCAGAGCAGCTACTAATTTACTACAAACATTGAAAAATAAATTTGGATACGTTTCATTCCCATCAATATCGTTATACAATGTTATATATCTTTTCCCTTGCTCTTGTACTGTGTGGTATGCATCAATAATATGGACCTGACCTTACCTGATCTCTTCTGATCAGTTACAGGAGCACAGCTCTTTGAAACCTATCATAAAAATTGTCAAATCCTTGGAGATTTTTGCAGTTTTTTTTAAAATGATGCATTGTATAATCGGATACGGTTTCACCACATTTAGAATTGTTTAGCAACAGAAGAAATTAAGAGCCAAGAGCCAAGTCCACTTTTGACACTTTTCCACTGTGAGGATGCCACACATGTAATAAATGTTTTATTGGACTTACTTGGACGGTTCTGATCATACCATTACTGGCAATTACATTCTGAGCATGTTTGGACAGCGTGAGGAACAGATCTTATTGTGTGACTGACAGCGTTGTAATATTTCTTACAGCTTTCCTTCGCTGCCACCACACCCGTCCTTGCTGATAAGAAAAAATATCCTTATTTCTTCCGGACTGTGCCGTCAGATAATGCTGTCAATCCTGCGGTTGTCAAGTTCCTGAAAAGCTTTCAATGGCGTAGGGCGGGGACCCTAACCCAGGATGTCCAGCGCTTTTCAGAGGTACGTTGCCTTTAATTAGTCATGTAAATATTGGTTCATACTGTGTCATATTTATTAATGGAATTCCTTAATAAAGTACCAGAGTCTCACAAATGAGGACCCCTTCTGGTAACCAGACGTACTTCATCTGACCTGCTCCATGATGTCTTAAGAATGTGGTATTTGTAACAAGATAGTGGCTTCTCCCAGTAACTGGAAATGCATCAACTTGTAACTTGCTTCTGGAACAGAATTCCCACAGGCTAGTGTGACAGACAGAAGTAATTGCTAGCTGCTAGATATTGCTGCAATTCAGAGTCAATAATAATAACCTGATATTTCCACCATAAAAACACTAGTCTCTGTGGGTTGACCCATTCTGCATATTTTCAATTTGCATTAAAATGCTGCAAAACATGAATAAAACTACTTAAAAATAAGGGTTGCTTATTTCTAATATTAAGCTATTAAAATAAATAAGAGTAACACAACTTGAATTAAACAGTTTAAAAACTTTCTGGGCACACCCTGCTATCCAATTTTTTCTTCCATTCTTTTCTTTTGAATTCATCCTTTCTTCAATTGAGATGTTAAATAGAGGCCCAGTTTGCTTGTTCAGATAGACATTAAAGATCTCCTGGCCCACAAAACAGTTACTCCACTACACAATATATCTCGTGATGTGTTTTGGGTGTCTTCCTGGTGTGAAAGCCACTATTAAATAATAATAAATAAAAATAATCCATGCAGTTGATGCCTTATCACGTTGTCAAGATGTCTCAAAGCGCATCACAGAATATACTGTAAAGTGAATTGACTGTATATTTGTGGGCGAAAGGCAGCACAGCAGTGTCCCAAAAACAGTCGTGGATTGAGTGACCAAATTATTATTTTTTTAAAAGGGGTTATTATATATAATAATAATAATAATAATATAATAATAATAATAATATTATATTATTATTATTATTATCCCAGAAAAGCAATCTGCCAATCGAATAAATAGATGTTTAATAAATAATAAGATGCAATGATTATTATTATCGTTATGAATTCTGACTTCAGTTTTATTCTGTGAGGCATTCTGTCACATCTCAATGATATATGGCGCTTTATCAAATGCAAGGATTATTATTAATAGTATTTTCTATGTATTCTATATCTGTTCTAACCATTTCTTCCTAATTATTTCAAGCTTTTTGAACCCATTCCCTTTTTTGTTTCTGTCTCTCAATTCCCACCATCTATTCTGGGCAAGGAGCAAATTTTTGCATTTTCTTTAAGTCGGCTGAAAAACAGTTCTAAGGATGGATTTGCAGGGCATGAACCCCCACCGAACTGTGATGACTGACATGGCAACACCCTGGATGTAACCAGATGAATCCCCAGCATCCAAGAACAGCAATTAAGGGTTAAATAAATTGGCTCAATGCCATTGCTTGCAAATTGTGCAGACTCTCTTGAAGGAATTGGTTTGAAGAACCAAATGACCTTTTCTTGCTCCATATTTCTTAAGTCTAAAATTAGAAATGTAAAAATGCTATTTGCAAAGTGTTAGTTATAAACTAGGTGACCCTTTAATAACAATGATAATAATAATCCTTGCATTTGATATCACGTCATCGAGACGTCTCAAAGTGCTTCACAGGATTTTACCGTGAAGTGGAATGACTGTGCATTTTGTAGGCAAACATGGCAACCAATTCATACTGCCCAAGCAACGTCCTACAAACAGCCATGACTTGATTGACCAATTTTATTTGGAGGATTGTTAGCCAGGACATCAGGAGAATCTCCCTTCTCCTTTTGAATAGTGCCATGGGATCTTTAACATCCACCTTTAAATGATAACTTGAGGATAAATGCTTCGTCAATTGGGAAACAATGTTAGAACTCAGAGTCAATGTGGCAACACATTTGCTGTGTAAAACACTTGTAGAATATGGATGAAGAATAATAGGAAAAGACATCATTAGGTAGGAGTATTCTCTGGGAGGGAAATTCCACCTGAGTCTAGATTTACTCTATTTCATTAGCATTTCAAAGAATGCAAAATTTGGTATATTCTTAAATACAGTTTTAACTTTGAAGCCACAGAAGGTATCAGTTTTGACTTTGCCAAATTCTGCATGCTAAGGAATTAGAATAAATCTATACCCTGGTTGTATTTCTCCTCCTCTGTGCTTTAAAGTTCTATCTTACCATTTCCCAGGGATGCTGAAAAAATAAATGGGTTGATGTGCACAGATAGGGAGGCAATGTTTACACAGTTCTGATCAACCCAGAAAATTCTCTTGCATGGAAAAAAAATAATTTCCAGTACAAATGCCAATTTAATATTTAATATCTGTTTATCTGCTTGATTTTATTTATTATGCCTGCAAGGGCAGGCTTGTTGATGAAGTCTCTTATTGCCGCGCACCATTATTTTTATTGAAAACCACTGTGATAGCAAGAGATTCTGCTGTAATACACAGGGCAATGCTCAAATGGATTAATTTACCTTTTTCCAGTGAGTTTATTGTTCTATTCAACTGCACTTGCAGCAACTTGCCTGTTATTGGCAAAGCCTTTCTCATCATTTTATAAATGCTCAAACCAATGTCATTTATGTCATAAAAATGTCACCACACTGCCTGTGCCTGACATCACAGACTGAAGCTCAGAATAGGGAAGGTGAACAGATAGTTCAAATTGAATTCCTTTGTGCGGAAAGTGGTGAATATGTAAAATGAACTACTCAGCGAGGTAGTGGACGCAGATTGTCTCAGCAAATTCAAGAGGGAATTAGACATCTATTTGGAAACGAAGTTGACTGATGGGTATGAGATGAGGGTTTAAAACATGATTTACAGGAATTCCACCTGGTCTAAATTTATTCTATTAACTTAATATTTCACAATGTGCAAAATTTGGGAAATTGTTGGATTCAGCTTGAAGCTGTTTAAAGCTAAAAATATTTACAGAAAACCTACATAAAAATTAACAACAACTTGCATTTATACTGTATAGTGACCTGCACACAGAATAATGTCTCGGAGTGCTTAAAGACTGTATTTAAGAATTAGACTTAAATTTAACTTAAATTAGACTTGAATTTAATCAAAGATTGTATTTAAGAATTAGAATCATTGTTATCATTAGGTCACCACTGATGTAATTTCTGTGCATCACGCAGGAATTGGCATCAGCAGCAATCCACTGACCCGATCCATTTTGCCTCCCCCAAGTGCTGGGCTGATTTTTGTCTTTTTGATCGCATGCGCAGTGAATACGGAAGCATTGACTAGCTACTGTGTTGTTATAGCACCGCCTTTGATTTTATGGAATCACAACCATGAAATTATAACAGGGCACCACTGGAATTTGAACAACAGATTTTTGCACTTCTTTCTGGAGATGATTTTTGTGTCTATGGTGCCAGATGAACCATAGCCTGTTCTATGCAGATTGACAATGGTGCTGAATTAATTGATATTTGTTAGAAAGGCATTGATGAAGCTGTACCTGAACTGGAGAAACTTAGCTGCTGATCATTTTAATTCAATGTTTACATGTCACTGTGTACAAACAGACCTTTAACACTTACTTCTGGTCGATTTCCCTTTAATAACCCAAGATCACAGCATTGCTGAAAACTGAGGAGGACAGAAGCAGGACAAACCACAGGCAATCTGTGATCTGATTATATCAGCTTCAGCTGAATAGCTCAGCAAATCCATTATTTGCTGCTCTGTGAATTAGCTGAGGTTTTATTTTGACAGATCCCTAGCACGCCATTCCCTGTGCAAAATGGGTGTTTGCGCAGTCAACAAATGCGTTGTTTTGAACTGAATGGAATGAGCTGAAATCTGAAACACTTGCACAGAAACAACTGTAATCCCTTGGTGACTGTAATCTGAATGATAATCTTCTACTTGTTGAACCAATAAAATATAGTGGAGTGTGCCTCACAGGTCACTGACAATTGTGGAGAAATCAAGAAATGATAAACTCAGTCTTAATGAGACTAAGTGAAATTTCTCGCCTTGCAAATGTTGCAGCTCAGTTTGATGATCCAGTCAGTCTCAAAAAGTTAATGTGCTCATAGGTCTTCATAATAATCCTTCTGTGCTTTACTGTCCACAAAATACCTCAAGGAGTTTCACAGGATTTGACTGTGAAAGATAATGACTGTGTAATTGTACATGAACGTAGGTTGCAGCCAATTTGGGCGCAGCAATATCTCACAGCAGCCATCAAATGAATGACCAATTATACCAACTGGGGATTGTTGGCCAGGACGCTCTGAGAAACTCACTTCTCTTTTTGAGTAGTGTTGTGAGGTCTTTGAAATTCATTCGAACAGTCTCATTTTAACATCTCCTCCAAAGGAAACATTCTCCTATGCTCCTCATTTGCTCATTTACTAACTATCTTAAATTGATGCCTTCGAGTTACCGACTCACCAAACAGTGGAAATCGTTTCTCTTTATTAACTCTATCAAATGCCTAATAACTTTAAAGGCCTCGATCAGGTCACCGTCAACTTTCTTTGTTCCAACAGATAAAGGCCCAGTCTCCACTCATAGGCCAAACCACTCATCTCTGGTATCACCCAAAGTGGGGTCACCAATACTGGACACAATATTCCAACTGTGATCTAACTTAACGATTTATATAAGTTTAGCGTTACCTCTTTGCTTTTATATTCTATACCACTATTTAAAAAACTAAGCTTCCATTAGCTTTTTGACAGCTTTGTCCACCTGCCTTCCAACCTTTAAGGATTTATGTGCATTAATCCCCAAGATTCCTTGCTCTTCCGTTCCTTTTAATACATTTTCACACAATGTATGTATGCTCATTCTTCCTCATAAAATCTATCATCTCACATTTGTCTGCATTGTCACATTTGTCCCCATTACTACCAACTGAGCCAGGCTGACATGTGACACAAGTGGCTTTACATTGAAAAACTGACCATAATAAAAAGCGGTGATTCTAAAACTAACTGCTGAAACACACTCCTTCTGAAATTA